CACACACAAATAAAGAAAAAATAAACATTTATACGTTATTGCATATACAATGTGCAAATAAATGTTTGAAATAGATTTTCTCTTTTACATTAAATACGCAATATATCAAATAATATTCCATCTTGACGAAACTAACTATAGAATTGTTTTCTTAAATTCTCTTACATTTTTTTTTATTTTTTAGATTTTTTTATACATATATATATAAACCAATAATTATAAAGTATGTATAATAAGTATAAGTAATATAAATTATAAACTTTCAAAGTTGATTTCTTTATTAATCAGAACATCATATTTGTGCTAACTTAAACTTGAAGCATATGTAACTGCATATATAACGTAAATAAAAATATGTATACATAATATAGAAACTTTTTTAATATAAAAAAATTAATGTAAAACATTATTAATTCTATATTAAATTTTTGTATTAAATTTTATTGTGTCATGTTAAATATTATATGGTTATATATTAATTATATATCTTTAATATGTAAATTTAATTAAAGTAAAAGTTAATTACCGATCCCCCCCTATAGGATCTCATTCTACCCCAATTCCAATGTCTACCTCTGCCTCTGCTCGGACCTCTACCTCTACTTCTATCTCTGCCCCTGCCTCTTCCTCGCCCTCTTCCTCTTTCATCTCGTTCTCTTAAATGATTAGTAATAGCTGTTTCTATAAGGGTATTTAAGTCTTTTCTCTAAAATATAAAAGATAAATGTGAAAGACATATAACAAAATGTGTTAATATATATATTAAAAAAGTAACATCAAATTTAAGCAATATGATATACAAAGATACATATACTTACAAATAAAATTTAATGTAATGTATTTAATGTAATGTATATTTATATTAATCAATTCATAAAATGTTATAATAAATTATTATAATAAATAATTTTGTATAATCCTTTTTTTGGAGAGATCAGTAGATATTTTAAAGATATTCATATATTTTCAAATCAAAATTATTATCAATAACATTAATTGAAAATTAAAAACAAAAATAGGACTTTATCTAATATTAAAAAATAATATATAATCCTAGCTAATCTAATCTAATTAACATTTTTATAAAGTTTTATACTTACTCTTAATGTAATAAATGTTTCAGTGGACCTCGTCATTGTTGTCAAAGCTGTAGTCGACATAAGATATGGTGCCATCATTGTCGTTGACGATACCGGTGTTACATATGCTGTTGATGCCATTGGTGCCATCAACGCCATTGTTGCCGTTGACATTATCGGCGCCGTCAACGTTATTGTTGATGTTTTCGGCGTTATCAATGTCATTGTTGTCGTAGATAACGTCATCATTGCGGACGTAAAATTCGACGTTGTCATTGCGACCGATACTATCATTGCTGTTGGTGATAACGGCGCTGTCGATGTCACCAGCGATGTTGATGCTACCTGTGCTGTTGATGCTGTCATTGTAGGCGTCAAATGTGACTTTATCATTGATACTATCATTGATGCCTCCGTCGTTGATGTTTTTGGTATCTCTAATGCCTTCAATGGCTTCAATGCATTCGATGGCTTTGATGCCTTCGTTGTCTTCGTTGTTGATGGCATCACTGCCGCCGACATTGTTGACTTAACCGTCGACATTGTTGTCACCGACACCGTTATCATTGGCGCCATTATTGTGTTTAACCCAGTAATTTGTTGTTGTTCACACTGAAAAAGAACCGACTATATAAAAAATCATATAAATTAAATTTTCAAAAAAATTAAGTAATGTATATTTACTTCTATCATCTTTTCATAAGTCATATACATATATAAAAAAAAATAATTTATCATAAATATATTTATAGAAAACAAAACGATTATAAACTATAAAATACATGAAAAACATGAATATAATAAAGGACTATTTCATTTATAACTATTTCATTTATAATTTCATTAAAACAATACTATTAAAATATCTTTATTTAAAAGAAACATCTTATGTATATGTTTATATATGTATATATAAAATTTAAAAAAAAGAAAGAAATATAGGCAATACTGGACAGGCGGAATCTTAAGCATCTAATGATCTTTTTATTTTATATATATTTA